CTTGAAAGATTCCGGTACGCGTAAGTTCATTTTATTCGCTCCTCACTATGTAGATTTCCTTTCGTTTCTCTAATCTCTTTACATTTTATTTTCTGTTTTTTGCTTGATATATTTGTTTGTTTTTTCGTATATATTTTTTACTTAATGTGTTCTAATTTCGTTTCAATTTTTTTTACTGCTCCTCACACTATTGTATTGATATATTTTGTGTTGGCTATATTAGTGCAATATTAGAAGGCAATCCTTTTTGCGGATATAATCGTGTGGGCTGATGAAGAGATTGTATCTTTTATTTGTTTTGTTTTCCGAATTTTTAATTTCTTTCTTTATTTTTTTTATTTTTTCTTAGATATCAAAAATTATATTTTTTTAAATACTTTTGAAGAAAAAAAAATTAATAATTTTCTTCTCTTGTCATTATTATTTTATTTTCCATATTTTCTCAATACTTTATCTTTTATATATATATATATATGTATAGAGAGAGAGAGAGGGGGGGGAATAAATATTTAAGAATTATAGTTATTCACATACTTTTAAGAAGACAAAAATCTAACGAAAAAACTTTTTAAGCTGAGTTTTTATTTAATTAATATCGTACCTAAATTTAATTAATAAAGGGATTTGAACTGAAACATTGTTACGAACAAAATAAAAAGCTATTAACTCCCATTATTTTTAAATCTCATTTTTGTTTTATAAAAACGAGTGAACAACATGTGTATGCATAAAATCCTTACAAGGAAGAAAGTTATAAGAAGTACAGAACAAAAATAATTTTAGAATATGTGTATACTTTTTATTTTAACATAAAAACCTTTCTTTTGGAACTATCAATACAATTTTTTCGATTGTGAATGGGTTTTTTACCTTTTAAACAAATATTTTTCAAACTAAACTTTTATCAATTAATGATTAAATTTATAATCTTTATCCAGATTATTTTAAATTGTGCTCTTATTTAGTTTCAAATTTTACTGAGCCTCATTTTAACTTACCTTTAAAAAGCCCAGAACAAAAATGGAACTTTAACAAAAAATATCGATTCTACTTACATTTACTAAAACAAGGAATATTTTAAGTATGTTTTTCTAGACAGCGAAAGAGACTTATTTTTATTGGAGAAAGAGAATTTTCATTTTGAAATGTCTATATATGAATCCTACAAAAAGCAAAGAATTTTCTTGCACAGCGACAATAGTTTTGAAAGGTTTTATTACTCCCTCTTGGATAAAAGGAGACACAACATCTCTCTTACAACTGCAGATACGTGTAGATTTAATTAAGTAAATTCCAATCTAAAAGAAACTTTGCATACTGCACTATTCCACACTACGTTTCGCAAACTCAATTGAATGAAAAGCATTTCGAAGATGAATACTGTCTTTGAAATAGGCGGGAAATTCTTTCATTTTCACAATATTTTCATCGAATTATTGAAAGGAGACGCTTAGTTTGAAGAAAAAGTAAGGAATGAGGATTTTTGTTGTCTAACATTTAAGTCCTAAGAGAACGCTGCATTGTCGAAGAAATCATTTATGGCAAATTATATTTCGACTACATAAGTTATTTAAAATTTAGAGAAAAGTGAATTCTCATAAACCAAAATTTTTCAAATGCCTGTTTTCAAAATATAAACACGCAAACAATTTATTACTTCTCATTGTGTAATCCTGAATAATGCTGCCATAATTTGTTTGCATGTTGATATTTTGTAAAACATTTTTGCATCATTTGAAAATGCATGGTTTACTCTAAGTTTATATGAACTCACATTTCTCAAAACTTTAAATTAATCACGTAAGGGAATGAGAATTTGCCATAAAGAATTTCTCCCGCTGTATAGCATCCTCTTAAGAAAGATTTTTCCTCCCGATCGATCTGAACTAGAGCCGAGGAATCCTAGATATGATTTCTTACCGAATTTATTTAATTTTTTAACTAACATACTGATGTTAGATATTTGCTCTATTCGGCAATACATTTCGCAACAAACAAGGCCGCTCACCAAATCAAAATTTAACTTATTTAATAAAGACCGTTAATTCTTAACACTAGAGTGAGAGGAGTGGTCATTTTGACTGCGATTCAAATTTGAGAGAAGCTAAGTACTTAAATAATTATAACAGCTTATTTGACTTTCGTAACTTTTTGAGGTTTTCAAAAGCATTAAAGCAAAGTTTTATTAGAATATATAATAAGTGCATAGGATTAACCTAGAACTACCATCGCTGTCAAATTGACAGCGGATTTAGCAGCTGTTTCACTTCCATTGCTTTTCCTTATTTTATTCATGCATTGCTTTCGTCTTCATTGCTCATTTCTTTTGCGCCTGCTAGATCAACACAAAATTTTATTTTTGAAATTTACCTACTGCTGCTTTCCAACCACTCGTAATTGATTAGATTATGGTCAATTGTTTCGATTCAGATAGCTTCGAGATATGAGAAAATTTACCCATCCGAGAAAGAGTAAATTTTGTAAAAAAAATTCTAATTGGTATTCTATAGCAAGGAAAGGTAATAAAATTCAATAAATAGCTCCAGCCATAAAAAATTATGAGCGTTAGAAATTTATTCATCACTTGGGGAAGAAAAAACTGTGAAATTTAGATTAAATTTCTGGCTGGCAAGGGAACTTAATACCAAATATTTTTTAACAGTCTAATATATCTGGATAAATACAACGACAGAAGTAGCTTTGTGAACATGACGTTACGTTTCTTTGTAGGAAAGATATGTTTATATAGTCTCTAGACAGACATTTTATTCCATCCAAACAGGCTTACTCCTTATGAACAAAAGCAATTTCAATAGTTGTTGGAATGCGACTAAATTACAGAGGAGTCCCACCAATTAGCAAAGCTGCAACTATCTAGCACTTTTTTAAAAAATAAATTTCTAATTCAGGATTCTAAAGTTTTTATTGCGTATCAATGCAAACCAGGGTTGTCAAGATTTTGCCGCAGGTGGAAAAAACCATGGCAAATACCGGTAAAAACCGTCCTGACAAAAACAGGTTTTTGCCAAGCAAATTGGCAAAAAGTGGCAAAAACCTATATTTTCTAAGATGAGAGGTCAAAAACAAATTTTTGGTACAAAATTATTCCTAAAATTGAAATATATAATATAAATAAAAATAATTAACAAAATTATTATTCCATAATTAAATCATAATGTAATAATATATCATTTTAGTAGTTTAAAACATTATTGATTGGAAAATTTGCGAATATTCTCTTTTTTCCAGTGAAATGAACTTATTTTAAATTAATATAACTATAATTTAAAGCATAAAATATCTATCAA